TGCTGACCTTTTGGTTAGCAGCCAAGCTCTTAACCACTGTGCCACCAGGGCTCCACCTCAAGAAAAGAGGCCTAAAAATACTGACACTGGGAACTGCCCAACAAAAAACTGCACAGACAGACCACGCTACAATGAAGTTCATAGTCAACAGCCCTGCTCATGGGCTTCTAGGCTCAGAATTGTTGCTATGAGCCACAATCAACTCGATGGCACAGAACAACATCCGCCCCACCCCCACCACACCTAAATATGAACAGATTACCAAGGATTACTAGACATCAGATAAACCCTGTCTTAGTCTCATAGTGCTGCCATAACATTAAAAAAAGAAAAATCACAAGTGGATGGCTTTAAATTTATTTTCTCACAGTTCTAAAAGCTAGAAGTCTGAATTGAGGGCTTGGATCTAGGGGGCGATCCGTCCTTGTTGGTAGCCCCAGGTGTTCCTCAGGTTGTAGATGCATCTACCTCCATTGTCACCAGGTGTCTCCACCCATGTGTCTATCTCTGTGTCTATTCTGCTTTTTATAAGACACTACTCAGAAGTGATTTGGTTTAGGACCCACCTTACACTGGTGTGACCTCATTAACATAACAAAAGAAAACCCCTAACAGGGTCATATTTACAGGTGCATGGGCTAGGACTTCAACATAACTGTTGTGCATGCGGGGGGGAGGGGACACAATTCAATCTATAACAGCCTCTAACAAGAAAGATAGAAACATCCCCCAAAACTATTGCCCTAAGATAATCTTTAAACTTTAAACCAAAAATATCTGCTGAAGTCTTCTTAAAACCAAACAATAGTTTAGCTTAACTAGTAAAAAAAAATGTCTGCCTGGAGCATTGTGCTCTTCTAAGATCTATCTATATGGGATAAAACTGACAACAGCAGCTCGAACAATTAGGAACCTTAGGGGGCAGTGAGTTTATGTCAATGGAGGAGGAATAACTCAGAAAAGGAGGGTGAGAATGGTTGTACAATTTGAAAAATGTAATCAATGTCACTGAATTGTACATGTAGAAACTTGAATTGGTGTATGGTTTGCTGTGTATATTCTCAACAACAAAATAAGTTATTAAAAAAAAGAAAGATAGAAACAAAACAAATAGGGACTTGGAGGAAACAGATTATACAGGGAGAAGAAAGTGTAAAAAAAAGAAAAAAACTATCTTGATATTATCAGAGTAATAAGATAAAATACTGCAACTCTGAAACATGATAGGAATACTATAAATAGGAACATTCAGAGATCAAAAAAAGTTCTTAGAAATTAAAAATATACTAGCTGAAATAAAAAGCTTAATAAAGGGGTAGAAGATAAAATTGAGGCAATCTCTCCGAAAGTAGAGCATAAAGATGAAGAGATGGAAATGAGAGAGAAAATTAAAGAAATGGACAGTCTGGGAAGCCCAATATCAAATTAATACAAGTTCCAGAAAGAAAGAACAGAAAAATGGGGGAGAGGGAGAAATCATAAACGAAAGAATTCAAGAAAATTTCCCAGAATGAATGACATAAGGATACAATTGTAAGGTGCACTGAGTGCCCAGAACAATGATGAAAATAAGTCAATGCACATTGCTGGTCAGTGTCAGCAAACTGAAGACAGGGAATAGAAAAACCAGGGTACTTATAAAGGCTTAGGAATCAAATGGCTTTAGATTTCTCAACAGTTACACTGGAAACTGGAAAACAGTGGAGCAATGCCTTCAAAATTCTGGAGGAAAATGATCTCTAACCCAGAATTCTATACCCAGCTAGACTGCCCATCAACTGTGAGGGCAAAAGAAAGACTTTGCAGATTTGCAATGTCTCCAAAACTTTGCCACCCATGCACCTTTTGTCAGGAAGCTCACAAGAATGAAGGAACAAAATCCAGAAAGAGCAAGAATTGGCATCCAGGAAACAGTATCCAAACCAGGAGTGAAGTGAGAGAATGAAGATCAAGGGTTATTCCAAGATGGCAGCTATGCACTAGATTGAAATGGGCCAAACACCATGGGAGAAACATCTTCAATAAAATGAAATTAACAGAATACCTGATGCTTCTGAACACATTAAGAGGCAATTCAGACAATTGGCAGAGAATCTGGGTTTGAATTAGTTAAGCACAAAGAAAATTAAACACCTAGAGGAGGGAAGAAAGACAAGACAATTATTAACTCCAGGAAAAGCAAAGAATTGTGTAGGAGACAGAAGTAATCACAGATTACTACTTGTGGCAGCTGCAAGAACATTTATATAGTCATAACATGTAAACACTGAATATTCATCTAACTAGAATTACAAATGTGGGAGGCTGGAGTGATTTGAAGAGTGACTGTGTGTCTCCCATGGTAAGGAGGGGATGAAAAATGCCTAAAATTGAAAAATCAAGAGGTAGCCATACAAACATGGTCTTTAAAGATAAATAAATAGCAAGATGATACAGTTCACGAGGTGGAAATGGATTCCTCTTGGGTGGAAAAAATGGAGGGCAGGCAGATGGGATACTGTTTTTTCATTAAAAAAAATCTTGTGTTTGACTCTTCAGGCTATGCAAATGTATAACTTTTAAAAATAGAACTATAGATACAGGAAAATGTAAAAGGGAATATTAAAAAACAAACAAACAAAGCCTGTTGCAGTTGAGTCGATACTGACTCATAGCAACCCTACAGGACAGAGTAGAACTGCCCCACAGAGTTTCCAAGGCTGTCATCTTTTTTTTTTTTTAATTGTGCTCTAGGCAAAAGTTTACAGCTTAAGTTAATTTCTCATTCAAAAATTTATACACGTAGTGTTTTGTGACATTAGTCCAACACTGTAATCTTTATGGGAGCAGACTGCCACATCTTTCTCCCAAGAAGCAGCTGGTGGGTTTGAACCACCGAACTTTAAGTTAGCAGTTGAGCACTTAACCACTGAACCACCAGGACTCCTTTTAAAACAAGAAACATAGCGACATCTTTTGTGAATCTATGAAGCTGCTGGGGAGGGTTGTGGGGGAGATGCTGGGTTTCCTACTGCACATACGAGGCAATGTAGCATAGTGGTTGAGTGCCTGGACTCTGGTCTCAGACTGTTGTTGTTGTTAGGTGCCCTCGAGTTGGTTCTGACTCATTGCAACCCTATGTACAACAGAACGAAACACTGCCTGGTCCTGCGCCATGCCCACAATCATTGCTATGCTTGAGCCCATTGTGGCAGCCACTGTGCCAATCCATCTCGTTGAGGGTCTTCCCCTTTTTTGCTGACCCTATATTTTATCAAGCATGATGTCCTTCTCCAGGGACTGATCCCTCCTGACAACACGTCCAAAGTATGTAAGATGTATTCTTGCCATCCTTGCCTCTAAGGAGCATTCTGGTTGTACTTTTTCCAAGACAGATTTGTTCGTTCTTTGGGCAGTCCGTGGTATATTCAATATTCTTCGCCAACACCACAGACTGCCTAGATTCAAATTCCAGTTCTGGGACCTTGCTGTGCTTAGTTTCCCCATCTATAAAATGGGAATAATACTAATGGCCATCTAAGGTTGTTATGGAACCCTGGTGGCACAGTGGTTAAGAGTGTGGCTACCAACCAAAAGGTCGCAGTTCAAATCCACTAACTGCTCCTTGGAAACCCTATGGGCCAGTTCTACTCTGTCCTACAGGGTCGCTATGAGTTGGAATCAACTCGACAGCAATGGGTTTGGTTTTTTTAGTTTAAGGCTCTTATGGGAGAAGGAGCCCTGGTGGCGCAGTGGTTAAGTGCTTGTCTGCTAACCAAAAGGTCGGTGGTTTGATCATACCAGCTGCTCCATGGGAGAAGGATGTGACATGCTGCTTCCATAAAGATTACGGCCTTGGAAACCCTATGGGGAAGTTCTACTCTGTCCCATAGGGTCGCTGTGAGTCGGAATCAACTTGACGACCATGGGTTTTAAGGTTGTTATGGGGACATTGGTTCAGTGGTAGAATTTTTGCCTTCCATGCAGAAGACCTGGGATCGATTTCTGGCCAATGCACCTCATGCGCAGCCACCACCCATCTGTCAGTGGATGCTTGCATGTTGCTATGATGCTGAACAGATTTCAGTGGCGCTTCCAGACTAAGACAGACTAGGAAGAAAGGCCTGGCGGTCTACTTCTGAAAATCAGCCAATGAAAACCCTATGGATACAATGGCAACTGATCATCGGGCTGGCACAGGCCTGGGAGGTGTTTTGTTCCATTGTGCATGTGGTCACCATGGGTCAGGATGCAACTCAACAGCAGCTAACAACAACATCAAGACTGTTGTGAACTTAAGTGATTTAATATCTCCAAAGCAGTTAGAACAGAACTTGATACATAATAAACACTATGGTAAATTAAAAAGATGCAGGAATGATAGTAAGACTTGGCAATGATATAGAACAATCGGAACACTCCTACAATACTGGCGAGAGCATACATTGGTACAACCACTTTGGAAAAGGTCTGGCAGTACCACTGAAGCTAAGCATACACCTACCCTACAATCCAGCAGTTCCACCGCTGGGAATATGTTGTTAGTTGCCATGAAGTTGATTTCAACTCATAGTGACCCCACGTGACAGAGTAGAACTGACCCATATGGTTTTCTAGGCTGTAAACTTTATGGGAACAGATTGCCAGGTCTTTCTTCTGCAGAGTCCCTGGGTGGGTTCAAACCACCAACCTTTTGGTTAGCAGTCAAGTGTTTAACCATTGCACCACCAGGGCTCCTTACCTGGGAATATATCCAAAAAAAATAAATTTATACGTCCACCCAAAACTGGAACAAGAGCATTCATAGTTCTTTCATTCATCAAGGCCCAGCACTGGAAACCACCCAAATGCCACCCACAGCGGGATGGAAGGATTCTGCTATATTTGTACAACGGTATACACCACAGCAATGAAAAAGAGTAAACAACTCGGATGACATAAAGTTGAGCTAAAGAAGCCAGACACAAAAGAATATACACTTTTTCATTCTGTTTATAAGGAGCCCTGATGGTGCAACAGATAAGTGCTCAACTGCCAACTGAAAGGTTGGCGGTTCGAACCCACCCAGCAGCTCCTCAGGAGAAAAGACTGGCAATCTGCTCCCATAAAGATTACAGCCTAGAAAACCCTATGGGGCAGTTCTGCTCTGTCACACCGGGTCGCTATGAGTCAGAATTGACTTGACGGCACCCAACAACAGTTCTGTTTATACAATATTCAAAACCAGACAAAACGACAGTGATCATCTGTGGTGACTGGAGGGATACAGGGAGCCTTCTGGGGCAGTAGAAATGTTCTAGGCCTTAATCTGGTGTGGTCACATGGGTGGACATACATGTGTAAGCAATTATTGAGCAGCACACTTAAAGAGCTGTGTACCTCAATGTTACGGATTGAGTTAAAAAAAAAAAAAAAGAAAGAAAACCAGTTGCTGTCAAGTCAGTTCCAACTCATGGCAACCCCGTGTGTTTCAGAGCAGAACTGCTCCATAGGGTTTTCAACAGCTGAGATCTTCTGGAAGTACATATCCAAGCCTTTCTTCTGAGATCTTCTGGAAGTACATATCCAAGCCTTTCTTCTGAGTCACCTCTAGGTGATTTGAACCACCAACCTTTTGGTTAGTAGTTGTGTACTTAACTCGTCGTACCACCCAGTGACTCTATGCTGAAATCCTGAACACTCGGTACCTGTGAACATGACCTTTTTTGGAAATAGGGTCTTGGAAGATGTTACTAGTTAACATGACATCATACTGAAGTATGGTGGGTCCTAATCCTATATGAGTGGTGTCCTTTTAAAAGAGAAGACACAGAGGGAAGACAGCCATGTGAAGATGGAGACAGAGATTGTGGAGACAGAGATTGGAGTGATGCATCTACAAAACAAGGAACGCCAAGGACTGCTGGCCATCACCATATGCTAGGAGAGAGGCATGAACAGATTTTTTCTTAGAGCCCTCAGAAGGAATTAACATGGCTGAATTTGGACTCCCAGCCTCCAGAACTGTGAGACAATAAATTTCTGTTCTTATAAGCCATCCAATTTGTAGTACTTTGTTACAGCAGCCTTAGGAAACGAATCCATATACTCTATGTATTTTACATCTTTATAAAAAAATTTAAAATCTATAAAAAGACACAGGATGAGGTCTCAAGTTGTTTGGATTGAGGACTGGGGATGTGGCTGACATTTGAATGAAAAAAATACCGGTATCCCTCACTCTCTGAGGCCAGGGATGGGGCAGACTTGGATTCCTGTTTTGAGATCGGATTGGGGTCCGTTACTATTAACAGTCTCACTATTCAGGAACGAAGTCGGTTTGGAAAATGAGATCCTTGAGTATCTGGAAACTCATGCAGGACTGAACAGTCTGGGAATGCAAGGGAGACCTGTAGACGTAAGGGAGGAAGGCAATTCTACCTGCAGCTACTGCTGGCTCCTGAGGAAGAGTGCTTTGTGCTAGGGAAGCACGGGTGGTAGCAGAGCCTGGGAGAGCCACATTGCTCTGTATAAGAGAGAAGGGAGCTGGAATTCCCAGGGGTCTTCTTGGTGGAAAGGAGTCCCTGGGTGGTGCAAACAGTTAACACGCTTAGCTGCTAACCAAAAGGTTGGCAGTTTGAGTCCACCCATGGCACTTCGGAGGAAAGGCCTGGCAGTCTACTGAAAAACCAGCCATTGAAAACCCTATAGAGCAAAGACTCTATAGAAGAATCCTGATCAAAAGGGGGGAAATGTGGAACAAACTTTAAAATTCTCATGGAATCCAGACTTTCTGGAGCCATAGAGGCTGGATGAACCCCTGAAACTATTGCCCTGAGATAATCTTTAAACTTTAAACCAAAAATATCTCCTGAAGTCTTCTTTAAGCCAACCAATAGTTTAGCTTAATTAGTAAAGAATATCTGCCCTGAGCATTTTGCTCTTTTAAAGAACTGTGCATCTATATGGGATCAAATTGACAACAGCAACTAGAAAGGTTAGATAGGAAGCTTAGAGGGCAGTATGTTTGCGTCAATGGAGAGGAACAATTTAGAAAAGGAGAGTGAGAGAATGGTTACACAACTCTAAGAATGTAATCAATGCCACTGACTTGGACATGTAGAAATTGTTGAACTGGTGTATGTTCTGCTGTGTATATTCTCAACAACAACAACACAAATAAAATAAATTATTAAAAAACAGAAACCCTGACATATATGAGGCAGTTCTACTCATTGATGGCAGTGAGTTTGGTTTGGTTTGGTTTAATCTTTACAGAAGCAGACTGTCACATCTTTCTCTGGTGGAGCAGCTGATAGGTTCAAACCAAGCTTTTGGTTAGTAGCTGAGCATTTAACCACCGCACCACCAGGGCTCTTCCAGTAGAGTAGCGGCTAAGAAAATCAGTGCACGTTGAATGACTAAATAAATGAAGGGCAGGAAGTTGTGGCGCTTAGCTTCGTTGTAATTTTTTTTTTAACTTTGTGGTAATCTTGGGCTGCATTTTAGGGACTGATCTTAAATCTCTATGATTTGGGAAACTGATGTAAAAAAGCCATAATCCAGGTATTGATTCTAGTGAGTTCAGATGTAATGATAAACCTAATAATAGCAGCAAACATCTACCGTGTGACAGGCACCATTCTAAATGCGTTGCGTAGATTAACTCATTTTAATTGTCACAACAACCCTATGGGGTGGGCCCTATCGTTATGCCCATTTTAGAGAGGAGGAACTGAGACTCAGAGGTTGAGTAACTTGCTCAATGTCATACAACCAAGAAAGGGATTTGAACCCTGGCAGTCTAGACCCAAAACATTCTGGGTATAACTAGTGGATCCCTCCCAAACATCACAAAGACCCTACTCCTGGGAAGGGGGGATTCCACGTCCACTCCTTCTGACCTCCCAGCTGACCCACCCTGGGCTGCCCCTGAGGCTTATGGCTGAACCCTGACCCCTCCCCATTTCAAAGCCCCATCTTCCCCCAGTGTCTGACTCATCCCCCAGTGTCCCCCCCGCCACAGCTCGCCAGTCCCGGAGTTTGCACTGACCCTGCCTTGAGCTGAGTAAGCGCTTCCTCTACGCGAGGCTGGTTGTAGCGCACCATGTAGCTGTGCATGTCGGGGTAGTTGCTGCGGATGTTCTTCTCTGTGGACCCATTGGGCACCGTCCCAAACTTCAGGGGTGGGTACTGCTCCTGGGGCCGCTGGAACTGGGGCAGAATGGGGAGTTATTAGCGAGCCCCCTAGGGGACATCTTGACCCAGATGCCCTGTTCTGGGGCACAACCACCAATTGGTGGACACCCCAGTTTAGAAGCATTTTTTTCAAACTCAGTTGATTGTGACCCACAGTAGGAAACACTTTTCTACTCCCCATCCAGCACACACATCCACAGATTTTATACATATATGTATACATAAATCAGTTACCAGCGAGTCACTTCCAACTCATGGTGATCCCATATGTTTCAGAGTAGAACTGTGCTCCATAGGGTTTTCAATGCTGTGATCTTTTGGAAGGCGCCCGGTGGTGCAGGTGTTTGCAATTGGTTGCTAACCAAAAGGCTGGCAGTTCAAACCTACTCAGCAACTTGGTGGAAGAAAGGCTTGGCGATCTGTTTGCATAAAGATTACAGCCAAGAAAACCCTATGGAGCAGTTCTACTCCGTAACACCTGGGGTCTCCATGAGTCGGAGGCTGACTTGACGGCAGCTGACACAACAACATGATCTTTTGGAAGTAGATTGCGAGGCCTTTCTACCGAGGCTCCTCTGTGTGGATTCTAACTGCCAATCTTTCTGTCAGCAATATAGCACTTAACTGCTTCTGCTACCAAGTACACTACACAGACATACATACATATATATATATATAGTTGGAATATTTAACAACCAGAATGGCCTGATCACCTTCTCATCAGAAAGGGCAGAGCTACAGAGCTGAGCTGCAGAAGAGTCCTGGAAGTCCCCAGTGTACCAGGTATTAACCCTTAATTTGCTGGATCATGGGAAGTCCTGGGGGTAGGGGATGGCATGGCTGGGGATGGCGACAATTGCTATTTACCAGTCAGTTCAGAATTAATTCATTCTTTTACCAATAGACATAGCCATACTGGTGTGTGCTGGCTCCATGCCACACATGTAAATGACTAAAACAAAAGTTCCATAAGATGATACTCACCCTTGTTACATAAGGATGCTGTCAACATATTTTATATTTTATTCTGTTCCATTCCATTAAAAAAAAAAAACTGCTTGTTGCAATCCATTGAATGAATTTCTCAATCTACTAATAGGTCACAACACCCAGTTAACCACTTTAATCTCAAAGTGTGGTCTGCAGACCACTATTTCCTGAGCAAACTGTGACCCGAACAGAGATAAGTAACAGAAATGGAGAAATTGTTCACTGAGAGCAATTTGATAAAATTATTTTATGTCCCTTGAGTCTAATAAATAAAAATTTGAGTTTTGTAAATCTTGGTTTTAAATTTTATTTTTTTAGTAATTCATCTCTATTGGATTTTACAAACCCAGTGGTCTCCAATGGATTGATTAGAAATTTCAAAAACTAGCCTTTCATCACAGTTTGAGAGATGAACTGGTTTAGAACATCCCATTTGGCACCACTGCCCCTGGAATGTTCTGAGACACTCCCCTTCCCTACTAGGAATATTTAAATAGTTTATTTTGAAACATACCCTCTCTTCTTCTAGAACATTCCATTTTACTATTCTGGAACTTTACCTGGGGAGAGACCCCCAGGATTTCCCCTCTGACCTCTGACTCCATCTCCCCCCTCCCCAAACACACACACCTTGCGGTCACTGAGCCCAGACACGGTGTCCACGTACTCCTCCTGGATCATGAAGGCGGCCAGGTTGGCTGTGTAGCTGGCGAGGAAGATGACGGCGAAGAAGGCCCACACCAGCACCATGATTTTGCTGGTGGTCCCCCGGGGGTTCTCCACGGGCACCGAGTTATTGAACACCAGGGCCCAGAGCAGCCAGATGGATTTCCCAATGGTGAAGGTTGAGCCGCCAGGGCCTGCGGGGGGCCAGGACGGGGACATGGACCCCAAATCCTTTCTGCTCAATGAGGGAGCAGAAAGAACTACAATTCCCAGTAGTCCCTGGGGCCCCTGACCCCTCAAGAGGCCATGGCTCTGCCCCGGGGGCTTCTGGGAAATGTAGTTTCCAGCTGTGGTCCGGGAACCGAGGTAGGGTGGTGGAGGAGGGGGACTCACGCTTGCCCGTGGCCAGGCTGCGGTTGTAGCCGACGGGACTGAGGTACTCAAAGATGAAAACGGTGACGGCGACCACGGTGAGGCACATGACAAACATCATCACCCACACGGCGGGGCTGTAGGGCTCTGAGGGCAAGGGGGGTGTGTGGTCATGGCTCAGCCAAGCCAGGGATGGCAGGCCACAGACCAACCCCTCCCCCACCCCACCCCACGTATGGATGCAGCCCCCCCCATCTGTCGCGTCCTAGTCTATACTCCTCCCAGCTTCCCCATTGAGAGGACAGACCCCTGCGAGATCAGTCTTTTCTCAAGGAGAGACATCTCAACCACTTCTGCAGTTTCAGCCACCAAACGTGTGTTGTTGTGTGCCCGTTAAGTCGATTCCGACTCACAGCGACCCTGTAGGACAGAGTAGAACTGTCCCATGGGGTTTCCAAGGCTGTAATCTTTATAGAAGCAGATCACCAGTTTTTTTTTTTCCTCTCGGTGGGTTTGAACCGCTGAACTTTTGGTTAGCAGCTGAGCCACATACCCATTGCACCTCCAGGGCTCCTTCACCAAACATGAACTGTCTTCTAAATAAGCTTCCAGAAACCCAGAGCCGAGTCTCCACCTTCACCTGGCTACTTCTAGGTCATTCATCACGTTCCCCATCTTGGAAACCCCACCAGCCACCCAGTCACAGGCCAAAGCCCCAGGTGCCATGCTCACCTCTGACAGCCCATCAGTCCCCAGCCCTTTCCTCCTACCCTCTAATTCTACCTTGATCTCCACTCTCACAGCCAGCACGGCTCCAGTCTCCTCCCCAGCCTCCAGCCTCTCCTCTCTTTCTAGTCCATGCCCCACATGCCCTTGAGGGTCTTTCTACCTAGAACTTCCCTCCCTCACAGCCCTCCCATGGCTCTCTAGTGCTCTCAGGACCAGGTTCCAGCCCCTCAGCCTTGCTCCCACGCTTCTCTGCAGCCTGATCACTCTCAAGAACTCACAGTCTCTAAACCAGCAACACCTTCTCCACCTTTGTCTCTATAGTCCCCTTTCAGAGGCACCAGGCTGATCTGTCCATCACATAAACCCCCATTCATGGGACCCTCCTCACATTCCCATAACTGTGTGTCACCTCTGGGAGTTCACTCACAAGTAAACCCAAATCACCCTTTCCTTGCAGTAAGGACCAGGTATGTACCCTCTGGGCCAAGTACAAGTTGCCAGGGCTGCCCTGTCATAGCAGGGCCACCACTGGGGACCATCACTGGGACATCTGGCCACATGCCTGTCACCTCCATTGGGCAACTTGATGGGGAGTAAATATGACCCTGTCATCTCCCTGCTGGGTGCGGCCTGAGGGCAGGGGCCCCATACAGTGCATCTCAGTGTGCCCTGCAGAGACCTTGGTGTGGACGAGGCCATGGTAGATGTTGTTGGGGGAAAAACAAAACAAAAAGAAAGGGACGTCCCTTTTCCCAGCCCCTCCCCTCTACCAGGAGCTTGCTCAGACTGCAGAGAGCAAACAGGAACTGACCCATGTATGCTTCGTCCTCTGTCTTCTCTGGCTCAGTAAATGGGACTGCTAGCCGAAGGCTCACCCCTGGTTAATGATTAAGCTCTAGGTTACTAACCAAAAGGTTGGTGATTTGAATCCATCCAGAGGTGCCTTGGAAGAAAGGCCTGGCAATCTACTTCTGAAAAGTCACAGCCATGAAAACCCTAAGGAGCGCAGTTCTGCTCTGACACACATGAGGTCACCATGAGGTGGAGTCGACTCAGTGGCAACTGGTAAGCTGGTATCCAAAGGCTCAGACTTGAGGGGGTCAGTCTTGCCTCCCCAGTTTCCCTCAGATCCACATCAAAACCACCAGCTCACCGGGTGTGTCAGCTTCCTAACCAGACCTGGAGTTGTCCACTTGTTCCACTGCCATCCCCACCTTCCAGTCCCATCCCCTATGGCACGGACAGACCCCTGCAGTAGCCTGTTCAAAGGCCTTCTACTTCCACAGAGCTGCCGGTGGGAAATTTTAAAAGCCTGAAAATGATCGTATACCCCCACACGACTATCTAGTTCAAACCCTTGCCATTGAGAGTTTTGCTTAGAGGGCACTGAGTTTAAGTTAATGGTGGTGGAGTGATTTGGAAAAGGATAACGAGAATGGTTGGACCACTTGAAGAATGTAATTAGAAATCAATGCCACTGAATTGTACATGTAGAAATTGTTGTGATGGCATATGTTTTGTTATGTTTATATCTTCACCACAATAAAATAAAATAAAAAGCTTATGCAAACTTTGCATTAAAAAAAAATAACTTTTGCCATTTCGATAAGAGTAAAACCCAAACTTCCTACCCTTAGGTGCAAGGCCCTGCACCTTCTGTCTCCTACCTTCCCTGTCAACCCTCATCTCCCACTCTCTCCGCCCTCACTCACTCCCCTCTAGTCACCTGCTCTTTCACAAACACCCTATGCACATTCCCACCTTGGGGCCTTTGCACTTACTGTTCTCTCTGCCTTAAATGCTGTTCCATGCAGATCTATGCAGTACCAGTGTCACCTCCTCAAAGGGGCCTTTCCTGCCTATCCACCCTATTTGTCTCGACCTTCACCCTGGCTTATTTTTCTCATGGTATCTATCACCATCTGAAGTGATCTTCTCCATGGACCCCTTTAAGTTGATTGTCTGTCGCCTCCACGAGGCAGAGAGCTCCAGTGGGCAGGGATTTGGGTCTGCCCTGTTTGCCACTGTGTTCCCAATGTGCAGCCCAGAGCCTGGCACATAGTATCAAAACCAAACCCATTGCCATGGAGTTGATTCCGACTCATAGCAACCCTACAGGACAGGGTAGAACTGCCCCATAGGGTTTCCAAGGCTGTAAATTTTTTTTTTTTTTTTTACATTAGATGAAGGTTTACAGAAAAAACCAGCTTCTCATTAAAAAATTAGTACACATACTGTTTTGTGACATTGGTTACTAGCCCCACATGTCAATACTCTCCCTTCTCGACCTTGGGTTCCCAATCACCAGCTTTCCTGTCTCCTCCTGCCTTCTAGTCCTTGTCCTTGGGCTCGTGTGCCCCTTTAGTCTCGTTTTGTTTTACGGGCCTGTTTAATCTTTGGCTGAAGGGTAAACCTCATGGGGGACTTCATTACTGAGCTAAAAGGGTGTCCAGAGGCCATACTCCCGGGGTTTCTCCAGTTTCTGTCAGACCAGTAAGTCTGGTCTTTTTTGTGAGTTAGAATTTTGTTCTGCATTTTCCTCCAGCTCTGTCTGGGACCCTCTGTTATGATCCCTGTCAGAGCAGTCAGTGGTGCTGGACTCAGTTTGTGGAGGCTGTGGTAGTTGTGGTCCATTAGTCCTTTGGACTAATCTTTCCCTTGTGTCTTTGGTTTTCTTCATTATTCCTTGCTCCCAACGGGGTGAGACCAGTGGAGTATCTTAGATGGCCGCTCACAAGCTTTTAAGACCCCAGACGCTACTCACCAAAGTAGAATGTAGAATATTTTCTTTATAAACTATGTTATGCCAATTGAGCTAGATGTTCCCTGCGACCATGGTCCCCACATCAAGGCTGTAAATCTTTACAGGAGCAGACTGCCACATCTTTCTCCCATGGAGCCCTGGGGGGTTTGAACCATTGACCTTTCGATAAGCAGCCAAGTGCTTAACAACTGCACCACCAAGGCACCTTTGGCACATAGTATATGTTCAATAAACACTGGTTGATGGGTGATTGAGTGCTTACAATGTGCCAATAACCTGCTAATCTCTTTTCCTCATTTCATACCTATATACAGGGTTTATAGACTTGGGTTTTGTAGGTCTTGAAGCTTACACAATGTGGAGGGCCCTCTTGAATAATAATACAAAATTATGAATATAAAACCAGGTAGAAGGCCTTGGGAGAGGGCTTGCAAGGGAAAATTCCTGAAGCTCAAGCTTCCTTCATGGTAGATTGCTCCTGGTAGGGGAAATTGTTACTCCCATTTTACCAATCAGGAAACTGAGGCTCAGAAGTGAATGCCACTTTGCAGGGTCATACCAGGGTACAGGCAATACCCGAATGTGTACTCATTTTTTCTGACTCCCAGTCCCAGGGCACCGGCTCACCGAGGAAGGCCGAGGGGGACACGGTGCCGTTGCTACGTGCCACCATGACGCTGATGCCCGTCTCCACGAAGGGGACAGAGAAGTCCACGATCTCAGACCGCTCCTCATTGATGGTGAGGGAGCCGATGGCCATGTCCGCGCGCTGGTAGAACACCTAGGGTAGAAATGAGGAGAGAGGTGAGGGAAGCCAGTCCAGCCCCCGTGGACAAGGTGAGAGGGAAGGCTAGGAGAGATGATGAGGTGGATGACAGGGCAGAGGATGCAGAGTATAGCAGGGGAGGGTGGAAGTGTGTGACAAGGAATAGGAGTGGGAAGAGGCAACCCTCGCTCCACCCGGCTGCTCCTATCAAGCTCTTTTAAGGCTTTTTGCTCCATTCTCCAGGCCCTGCCCCTTCCAGGAGTTCCATCCTTAGCTAGCGCCTCCTGCTCCAAATCTTACAACCCAGCTGTCCCTCTTCCAGACTGCTCTCTCACACCCAATTCCACCCGCAGAGCTCCATCCCTCTCATCCAGGAGCCCCCTTCTCTTGGGCCTGCCTCCTCTGACCTAGGAATTCAAGACCCCAGGCCCCGCCCCTTCCAGACAATGACCCCGCCCCATCAATCCATGGCCCCGCCCCCTTCAAAGGCGTAGCCTTCTCGAGGCTCCGCCCTACTCCCCCACACCTTCCACACTTGGAGCCCCGCCCCCAACCAACCCATGGCCACGCCCCTTCCACCAAGGCATAGCTTTTCAATAACCCACCCCTTCCGGCCCAGAATTTCTCTTCTGACCATGCCCCTCCGGCCTATTGTTCTCAGGTCATGGCTCCGCCCCTCCAGTTCTTGGCTCCGCCCCTACTGGCCCAGAAGAGTCCCCACCCCCACCCTGTCTTGCTCCCTCACTTCGCCAATCATGCCGTTCCAGACGCCATCGATCTTCTTCCCGTGCTTGCCGTTGGTGACCAGGTAGAGGTCGTAGCTGAAGCCGATGGTGTGCGCCAGCCGCTTCAGAATGTCGATGCAGAAGCCTTTGCAGCACCGCTTTTCCGGGCGAGGGGCGTCCGGCGGAGGGCTGCGGAGGGGGGGTGACCGGGCTTGGGGACGCTGGGGATCCCCCTCTTAGATTCTCCCATGGGGTGAAGGTATGGGGGTGGAGGCAGCAGCTAAAAACTATGGTTAGCGCTTTCTGGGGAAACTGAAGCCTGAAGAAGTCACTTGATTTTCCCAGAGTCACAAAACTGGACGGCCAGACTCTTGGGACCCAAGGAAGAAGGAGTCTGGGCCCTGGGGCACCTCGATCCTGAGGGAGGACGCAGCTGGGGGCCAGGACACTGGACTTCAGGGAGGAGGGTTTTGAGGATGGAAATTCTGGGCCCGGCTGCCACCCACCTGTGGGTGCGGTTGAGCTGGGTCCTGCAGGGGACCGAGTCTCGGATGCACGTGCCGCTGATGGGGTCGGCGGGCTCCACAATGACAAAGGGCCTCTCCTCGAGCGTGGCCACCGTGAGGTGCTGTGTGTCATCCACCGGCTGCAGGAAGTGGCCATAGCGGGACCACAGCGGGTACTTGAGGCGGAGGGTCTGCTGCTCCCAGCTGCCCACCTTGGCCAAAGAGAAGGGAGTCAGCCTACCTGGAGAGACCTCCCCAGACGTCCTGGTTTCTATGTACCTCCTCCCTTAGATCTAGGAGTATGGGCCCATCTCCCCCACCCCCAGGACCCAGGAGCCCCTTCCTCTTTCACACTTAGGACTCCAGTCCCCTAACCCCCTTCTCTCCCCAGGACCCAGGAGTCCCTTTCTCCTTCACACCCTGGACCCCCAGCCCCTTCCTCCCCCAGCACCAAGGAGTCTGGACTCGGTACCCTCTCTTCCCTCAGAGGCTGCAGTATATGCCCTCAGCCCCCTCCTCACCCAGGACCCAGGAGTCCCTTCCTCCTTCAGACCCAGGACTATGGGGCCCCCAGCTCCCTTCTCCCTTCAGGACTCAAAAGTCTAGGCTCCCAGCCCCTCCTCTCCAGGACCCAGGTGTCCAGCCCCTCTCCTCTGCCTGAGATCAGGGCTGGGACTCACCACCTCCCAAGTCCTGTCCCTGGTGAGGGAGATGACCACCAGGGATGGGTTCACCAGAAAGCCATCCTCGTTGAAGGAGTAATCCCGGTTATCCCAGGTGATGTTCATGAAGTACCTGCCCAGGAAGGAGGGGACATGTGGGGACCTGGGTTGGATCCCTCAGCAGTTGAGGGCAGATCCACTGACATCCCCAGCCTCCAAATGGAACCTCTCCTCCTTTACCTCCAAGATCTTGAAACACAAATGGGCCTCTTGGCTCAGCACCAGCCACTTGGCTGCCCAGTGCCTCCAGGACAAGGTCCCAGCCCCTCAGCCTTGCATTCAAGGTCCTTGTGGCTGGGCTGAATCCACCTCCCAGCCTATCACCCCAACTCCTAACCCTACTGCTTTCATCCATCCTGAACTATTGCAGTCCCACCAACTGCCCAAGTTTTTCCTCCCCTCTGGGCCTTTGCACATACTGTTCCTACTGCCTAGAATACTCTATTCTTAGTGAACTCCCATCACTTTTAGAATCAAATCCAAACCCCTTTAAAAAAAAAAAATCAAACCCATTGCTGTCAAGTGGATTCTGACTCATAGTGACCCTATAGGATAGTGTAGAACTGCCCCAGAGGGTTTCCAAGGCTATAATCTTTATGGTTTCTCCCATGGAGCGGCTGGTGGTTTTGAACAGCTGGCCTTTTGGTTAGCAGCCAAGCACTTAACCCACTTTGCCACCAGGGCTCCTCCCAAATCCCTTCCCCCAGCCTAAAGCCCTGTGTGTCTCTCCATCTCCTACTCACACCCCTCTCCCCCTTGCCCACTATGCTCTAGCCACACTGGCCTTGATGCAGGCTCTCAAACAGGCAGTTCCAACCCCAGGGCATTTGGATCTGTTGTTCCCTCTCCCTTCTGTTGAAGGGATTGGTCTGGCCTCACTTGTCTCTGCAGCCATATCTCTCATTGCTTCCCATTCTCAAACCCTTTCCCCCACCCCACCCCAGCCCCCAAACCCCCCTTTTTTTTTGCTCCACCAACACTGAATGGCCAGGTGTCCCCCAAACACATCAAACGATTTCCTATCTCCAGGCCTTTGCCTGGAGGGTTGAACTGTGTCCCTTCAAAAGTTATGTTGAAGTCCTAACCCCTGTACCTGTGAATGTGACCTTGCCTGGAAATAGGGTGTTTGAAGATGTTATGAGTTAAGTTAACATGAGGTCATACTGAAGTAGGGTGGGTCCTAATTCTGTATGAGTGGAGTCCTTATAAAATGAGGAGAAGAGACACAGAGGGAAGACAGCCATGTGAAGACAGAGGCATAGATTGGAGTGATGCATCTACAAGCGAAGGAATGCCAAGAATTGCCAGGAACCACCAGAAGCTGGAAGAGGCCAGGAAGGATCTCCTGCTAGAGCCTTCAGAGAGAACATGGCCCTGCCCACACCTTGATTTTGGGCTTCTAGCCTCCAGAACTATAAGACAATAAACTCCTATTGTTTTAAGCTACCTGGTTTGTAATACAGGTAGTCCTCGACTTACAACATATTGGAGTTACCATGAGCTGCATGCTTATGACTGCCTGTGTTGTTTTTTTTTTTTTGTACATCTTATTGTTGGTAATATGTACTACATACAATGTTGCAGCGTGTAATTTGCTGATGTTATCTCAGATGTTCACTCACAGATGTTCAATGTTATGATTTATAAAGATACTGATAATAAAAGGCAATAATAAATTTAAAAAAAAATGAGGTATTCGACTTACGTCAGAATCGACTTACGACGGAGTTGTCGGAACGTAACCCCATTGTAAGTCAGGGACTGCAGCAGCCCTAGGAAGCGGATATGCAGGTGCTGTTCTCTCTTCCTGGAACACCCTTATTCCATCCCTTGTCATCCTGAACAACTCGGTGTCTTCAAGACTTAGTTCAAATGTCACTTGCTCTGGGAGGAAGCCCCCAGGAGAGTCTCTGGACCCCTAGATATCCCACTGTGCAACATCACTCCCTGTACGACGACTGCCTTGTACACCGTCCACCTGGTCATGAGACTAGACCTACCCCATCCCCAGGTCATCAGTCCCCTGCTCCCGGGCTCTTTCTGCATCGTTCCCTCCTTTCCACACTCAGGCCACATCCTCCCCTTCCTGTACCCTCGCCCCAGCCTCCAATCTCTCTGCCCCACCCAGCCCCAGAGGGCTCTTTCTACACCCAAAGCTGTCCCTGCTCACAGTCCTCCCATGGCTCCCTAGTGCCCTAGAACAAAGTTACAGTCTCAGCCTGGCATTCAAGGCCCCATCCACCTCTCCAGTGTATCATCCCAACTCCTAACTCTAGTGCCTTCATCTACCCTGAACTATTGCAGTCCTACCAACTGCCCAAGTTTTCTCCTCTCTAGGCCTTTGCACATGCTGTTCCCCTGCCTGGAATATTCTATTCTTGGTGAACTCCCCCTCGCTTTTAGAAGCAAATCCAAACTCCTTACCTCAGCCTAAAGTCCTGTGTGTCTCTCCATTTCCTACTCATACCCCTCTCCTCCTTGCCCACTATGGTCCAGCCACACTAGCCTTGTTGCAGGCTCTCAAACAGGCAGTTCCAACCCCAGGACCTTTGCACCTACTGTTCCCTCTCCCTTCTCTTCACTCAGATCTTCCAATGCTTGGCTCCTTCTCTTTAATCATTTTTTACCTCCAAGTTTCACCTACTCAGAAAGACCTTTCCTAATCACCCTACCGAACCTAGCCCCCTACGCATTTCTGATCATATTCCCCCTGCTCTGTTTTCATCACAGCTGTTATCACCTGCTGATATTTTCTTCTTTTCTTGTTTGCTCACTGTCTTCCCATTGTTATGGATTAAATGGTGTCCCCCAAAAATATGTTATAAATCTTAACCCCTATACCTGTAGATATGGAACACTGGTGGTGCAGTGGTTAATCACTCGGCTGCTAACTGAAAGGTCAGTGGTTCGAATCCACCAGCTGTTCTGTGGGAGACAGATGTGGCAGTCTGCTTCCATAAAGATTACAGCCTTGGAAACCCTTTGGGGCAGTTCTGCTCTGTCCTCTAGGGTAACTATGATTCGGAATCGACTCAACGGCAACAAGTTTTTTTGGTTTTGGCTTTTTATACCTGCGGATGTAATCCCATTTGGGAATTTGGTTTTCTTTGTTATGTTAATGAGGCCACATCTGTGTAGGGTATGTCTGAAGCCAATCACTTAGAGATATAAAAGGAGCAGATCAGGCACAGAAGCAAGGAAGCACAAACGGGTGAAGATAGATGCCATGTCACATGAAGATCACCAAGGAACAGAGGAACAAAAGCAGAAAAGAGACAAGGACCTTCCTGCAGAGCAAACAGAGAGAGAGCTTTTCCCTAGAGCCAGTGGCCTAAATTCAACTTCTAGCCTTCTAACTGTGAGAAAATAAATTTCTCTTCCTGGTATTTCTGTTATAGCAGAAATCCTTTCAGTTAGCAGCCGCCTGGTTAATCACTGTGCCACCAGGGCCCCATATCCACAGATACAGGGGCTACGATTTACAATACATATTTTTGGGGAACACCATTCAATCCATAACAATGAGGTAAACAGCAAACTACCAAACCAGACAGACAGTGAGTGTCATGGATTGAATGGTGTCCCCCTGAAAATATGTGTCAACTTGGTTAGGCCGTGATTCCCAGTACTGTGTGGTTGTCCTCCATTTTGTGATTGTAATTTTATGTTAAAGAGGATTAGGGTGGGATGTAACACCCTTGCTCAGGTCGTGTCCCTTATCCAATGTAAAGGGAGTTTCCCTGGGGTGTGGCCTGCACCACCTTTTATCTTACAAGAGATCAAAGGAAAAGGAAACGAACAGAGAGGGGGAGACCTCATACCACCAAGAAAGAAGCACCGGGAGCAGACCATGTCCTTTGGACCTGGGGGTTCCTGTGCAGAGAAGCTACTAGTACAGGGGAAGCTTGACGAGAAGGACCTTCCTCCAGAGCTGACGGAGAGAGAAAGCCTTCCTCGGAGCTGATGCCCTGAATTTGGACTTCTAGCCTACTAGACAGTGAGAAAATAAATTTTTCGTTGTTAAAGCCATCCACTTGTGGTATTTCTGTTATAGCAGCACTAGATACCTACGACAGTGAGCAAACTAGCCAACTACCAAAAACCAAAACCAAACCCATTGCCGTCGAGTCGATTCTGACTCATAGCGACCATATAGGACACAGTAGAACTGCCTCACAGGGTTTCCAAGGCTGTAGTCTTTATGGAAGCAGACTGCCACGTCTTTCTCCTGCAGAGCGGCTGGGAGCAAACTAAGACACCCATTAAACAGTACTCAACACTATTATTCCCTGTGCCTAAGTTCCTGGAGAAGGACATCATGTTTGGTAAAGTAGAGGGTCAGTGAAAAGGAGGAAGCCCCTCAACGAGATGGATTGACACAGTGGCTGCAACAATGGGCTCAAACAGCAATGATTGTGAGGACGGTGCAGGACTGGGTGGTGTTTGGTTCTGTTGTGCATAGGGTCGTTATGAGTCAGAACCAACTTGATGGCACCTAACAACAAACAAAGCAGTAGTTGGCACACAGTAGATTCTCAATAAAGGGCTTTTGTGAATGAATGCGCAAGTCATCCTGCAGGATTCAGCTTAACTATTCCTTCCTCCCAGAAGCCTCTCTAACTCCATGGCTGACCCATGAATTGTGTAGCCTGGTTTGGAAGGCAGATTGGGGCCAATACAGTTCCTCTCTTGGGAGGATGTTAGCTATGAGATCTGGAAGGATGGAGAGTGGCCAGGGCGGGCTGAAGTGATGAGGGAGCAGAAAATCTGGGTAAGCGGTGGGGAGAGAACTGATGAGCCTCAGGGAGAGGCATGCTTAAGAGAGAGACAGACACAGAGAGAAACACAGAGAGTGAGAGAGGCAGACAGAGAAGAAAGGAGAAAGAGAGATGGGTAGGTAGAGAGACAGGCTTAAATGTGTGTGTGAGAGAGAGATGAGAGAGAAGGGAAAAAGAGATGGATAGACAGAGATAGAGACTGTGTGTGTATGAGAGAGACAGAGAGACAGGGGAAGAGAAAAAGAAAGAGAGAGAAAGAGATGTAAGAGAGGCTAGTCCCAGGCTCGGCCTCAATTTCTGGCATCTGGGTTTCTGTGCGTGTTTATCTTTCCAATAAGCCCCCTTTTCCCTAAGGAAATTTGAATGAGACTCTGCTTCTTGCAACTAAAAATGTCCTGGCGTAGTCAATACTCCTCACCAGTGCTCCCCAACGTCCATGTTCTCGCCACTACTGCAAGCACCATGCTGCGTTGTCATTATCCCATCCCTGTCTGCCACTCCTCCAGGACCCTTAGCTCTTTGAAGAGCGCTCCGTGGTCTTATTCATGTCTGTGTTCCCAGCGCCCAGCAGGAGCTCTCGTTCCTAGCGGGTGCTCAGTAAGTATTTATGAGTGAGGGAAGCTTTTCCCACTCTCCTATTCCTGATCCCAATTCCCAACTCACCAGTTCTCAAATCTCCTCCTTTAGGTCTTCTTCTCCACCCATCGCCTCTCCCCAGGCTCACTTCCCTCTCATTTCAGGATCAGGGGTCTTTCCTTCCATTGTTGTGTCACCAAATATTATGGATTGACTTGTGTCCCCCCAAAATACGTGTTGGAATCCTAACCCCTAAACCTGTAGATGCAATCCCATTTGGGAATAGCGTTTTCTTTGTTATGTTAATGAGGCCATATAGGTGTAGGGTTTGTCTTAAGCCAATTACTTTGAGATATAAAAGGAGCAGATTAGGCACAGAAGCAAGCAAGCACAGATGGGGGAAGACAGATGCCACATCACATGAAGATCACCAAGGAACTCAGCAACAGAAGCTGAAAAGAGACAAGGACCTTCCCCCAGAGCCAACAGAGAGTAAGCCTTCTCCTAAGGCCAGTGCCCTGAATTCGGACTTCTAGTGTCCTGAACTGTGAGAAAGTAAATTTCTGTTTGTTAAAGCCACTCAGTTGTGGTATTTCTGTTATAGCAGCAATAGATAACTAAGACACCAAACTCATCCATTTCCTCACTTTCCAGGTGGAGATGCTATTTTCCACCAAACTCTGTTTTTTTTCTGAAATAATATAGCGTAAGCTGGGCACCCCCAGCTGGAGGCCTCATTTCCCAGCCTTCCTTGCAGCCAGCTATGGCCATGTGTCTAGGTGATATTCAAAATATCTAACAACCAAGACAGCACTGGCACTAACCAATCAGAACTAACATCTGGCCAATCAGAATAGACTCTAACTGTAAACCAGTCTGGCAGACCTGACCATGTGACCACTTCTCACCAATAAGATGTGAGATGTGCCTCTCCCCACCACTTGCTGAAAAGACAATTGCTTTCCCCTTCCGATCAGGAACAAGACAAGGATGGCCGTTTTCACCACAGCCATTCAGCATTGTACTGGAAGTTCTAGCCAGAGCATTTAGGCAGGAAAAAGAAATAAAAAGCATCCAATTCAGAAAAGTAAAACTATGTCTATTTGCAGATGACATAATTTGCAGCTATGGAGAACAGTTGGTGGCTTCTCAAAAAGTTAAACATAGAGTTACCCATACCAAGAACCAAACCCATTGCTGTTGAGTGGATTCTGACTCGTAACGACCCTATAGGCCAGAGCAGAACTGCCCCATAGGGTTTTCCAAAGCTGTAATCTTTAGGAAGCAGACTGCCACATCTTTCTTCCATGCAGCGGCTGGTGGCTTCGAACAGCATACCTTTCAGTTAGCAGCCCAGCGCTTAACCATATGACCTAGCAATTCCACTCCTAGGTATATACCCCAAAGAATTGAAAGCAGGCACTCAGATACTAATACACCAATGTTCACTGAAGCATTATTCACAATAGCCAAAAAGTGAAAATATCTCACGTGTCCATCAACAGATGAACAGATAAATAAAATGTGGTCTGTTCATACAATGGAATATTATTCCACCATAAAAAGGAATGAAGTTCTAATCCATGCTAAGGCATGGATGAACTTTGAAAAAATTCTAAGTGAAAGAAGCTAGACACAAAAGGACAAATATTACCCTGCTGGTATTTGAAATACCAGTGGCATAGCTTCCAGCATCATAGAAACACGCAAGCCACCACAGTACAACAAACTGTCTCTCCATCTATAGGCCTGTATTTTTCCTTTAAATTTAAACAAGTGAGAAAACTAAAGTTCTAAAGACACGAGAAACTTACTCAAATTCAACCAACCATCACACATCACACAATGCTTGTGAAATTTCCATTACACCTCATTATCTTAAATGAGCTGGATGCTTAATAAATACACGGATGAATAGAGCTATGCACTCAATTAAAAAAAAGGACAAATAATATATGATCCCATTTATATTAAATATCTAGACTAGACAAACACATAGAGACAGAAAGTAGATTAGTGACTGCCAAGGGCTGGGGGAGGGAAGAATGGGGAGGTACTGCTTAATGGGTACCGAGTTTCTGTCTGGGGTGATGAAAAAGTTTGGGAAACAAATAGAGGTGATGGTTTCATAACATGGTGACTGTGATTAACGCCACTGGATTGTACACTTGAAAATGGTTAAAATGGCAAATTTTATGCTGTATATATTTTATCACAATTTTTTGTAAAGGCAATTGCTTGCTCTCTACTTCCTCTCTGGCCCCTTCTCAGAAGCTAGCAATCAGATAAGCTCACGATCCAGCTTTGACTGTTCAGAAAGGAGATGGCAGAGCCATGAGTGGGAGGATCCTGGGTCCCTGAATGATCACATGGAGCAGCTGACCCCGGATAAACTGGTCTGCTCTGCTCTGGATTTTTACGAGACAGGGCCAGCCTTCTATTTTGTTTGGGCCACTGGGTTGTAATCTAACCACGGTATTTCATAGAATCAAACTGAAGACACCACCAATTGTAAGATGTACCATCATTTTGTTGTTAGTTTGCTGTTGAGTCAATTCCTACTCATGGCAACACCATGTGCACAGAGTAGAACGGCTCCCTAGGGTTTTCAAGGCTGGGACCTTTCGGAAGCAGATCGCCAGGCCTGCCTTCCCAGGTGGCTCTGGGTGGGTTCAAACCGCCAACCTTTCAGCTAGTAGTCAAGCACTTAGTTCTTTGCGCCACCTAGGAACTCCTCAATGTACCATTATTTTATGTACCACAAAGAAAGAGTGCTGCCAATTAAATTATGATAAGCCCTCAATTTTAAGATCCATCCTAGTTTCAAAGACATTAAAATGTGAAAAAATGTGCTTCTTATAATCATGAAATATAGTAATACACTCACTGTGTCTCAGGTGCTTTCCCCAAATTGCTTGATTGAACCCCAGAAAACCCAAACCAAACCCATTGCCATCGAGTTGATTCTAACTCATGGAGACCCCATGTGTGTCAGAGTAGAACTGCCCCATAGGGTTTTCTAGGCTGTAATCTTTATGGAAGCAGATCACCAGTCCTTTCAGCCACGCTACCACTAGGTTAAGTTCGAACCACCAACTTTTCAGTTAGTAATTGAGTGCAAACAGTTTGCACCACCCAGGACCTCCTTTTAACCCCAGAAGGGAGGCCCAATTACACCCATTTTTACAGAAAAGGCAACAGTGTTATGGACTGAATTGTGTCCCCCCAAAATATGAGTTGGAATTCTAACTCCTATACCTGTGGATGTAATCTGTTTCCAAATAGGGTTTTCTTTGTTAAGTTACTTAGATCATTCCTGTATAGGGTGCAGTTCACAGTCTAAGCACTGCTGAGTTATAAAAAGAGCAGATTAGACACAGAGAGACACAGAGATGCCTATTTGAGGATTGTCTACAAGCCAAGCAACCAAGGAACGCCCAGGGTTACTGACAAAGAAGGCATTGACAAGGCGAGACGCTGATTTGGACTTTTAGCTTCCAGAACTGTGAGAAAATAGATTTTTGCTCTTTAAAGCCACCCAGGTGTGGTATTTCTGTTACAACAGTCCGAGGTGACTAAGGCACTGAGGCTCTGAGAGCGGACAGGACCCATTTGAGGTCACTCAGCCATCCAGCGCCCCAGGCCAGCACAAGCCTTCCCGCACCCCTCCCACAGGGCCTCCTCACCTGTGCAGACTCTCCCCGCGGTGGGTGCGGTTCTGGGCGCGACAGTCGTGGCCGAGCTCGGGCAGGAAACCATAGTCACGCAGCAGGGCCTGGGCACCTCTGGCCACGACGGCCACGCCGGCCGCCACGCGCCGGGCCAGGTCGTCCCTCCAGCCGGCTGAGCGCACCACGAACAGGCCGGCGGGCAGTGGGGCGCCTCCAGGCAGGAGCGGGGGCTCCCCGGGTGCCCCCGAGCCTCCTCCCCCGGCCAGCTGGGGCCCCACCATGAACCACACGTAGCCGGGCCCGGTGAGGCCCGCCTCCTCGGCAGCCCGAAACACTGGCTCGGCCTCCTCACGCGCACAGAAGAGCAGGCGGATCTGCGCGCTGACGCTGCGGAGCTGGGCCCCCAGCACCGCCTCGCCGGCCCCTGGATCCAGCGTCAGCGCCCCGCGGTGCTCCCAGCCCACCAGGCTGCCGTCCGTCAGCACCTCGATGTAGGATAGGAAGGCCCGGTGGCCAGGGGCCCGCGTGGTCACCGCCACGAAGGATGTCCAGTCGTACTCCTCCAGCACCTCGAAGATGACCTGAAGCTGCTGCTCCGTGGAGGAGCCCAGCTGCAGGAACGTGGAGCCCCTCTCCTGCGGGCGGGGAGGGGGTGTCAGCGTTTGGGGTGAGAGGCCACAGCTCCCAGAGGCCAAGAGGGGACCTTACCTCCCAGCAGCCCACAGGGGACTTCACTTCTCAGTCACTGATAAGGGGACCACAGAGCCCATCAGCCAATGAGGAACTCCCAGAGGTTAACGGGGAACACATCTCCCAGTAGCCAACCCGGGTACTACAGCTCTCAACAGCCAGCAAGGGGGCCTTACCTCCCAGCCACTGATAAGAAAACCACAGCTCCTATCAGCCAGTGAGAGGACAGCTCCCAGTGGCCAACGGTAGGTCACAGCTCTCAATATGAGGACTTACTAGCTATTCACCACCCCCCCCCAAAAAAAAAAAAAAAAAAAACCCTAAAAAAAAAAAACAGCTGCCACGGAGTCGATTCCAACTCATGGCAACCCCATGCATGTCAGAGTCAAACTGTGCTCCACAGGGTTTTCAATGGCTGATTTTTCAGAAGTAGATTGTCAGACCTTTCTTCCAAAGTGCTTCTGGGTGGACTCGAACCTCCAACCTTTCAGTCAGCAGCCGAGTGTGTTAACTGTTTGCACCACCCAAGGACTCCAGCTGTTCAACATACTCATTTCATTTTCCTTCTGGGGCACAGAACTAGACCTGGTTAGCTTTAGCCATGTGGCTGAGTTCTTCTAGGCTTGTCCGTAAGACCTCCCCTCAAACCCCATGAACCTTGCTCTTTTCTCTGTGTATGGAAAGATGCAGAGACCCCAGGAGAGAACTCTGAGGTCCTAAGGGATTGCAGGAACTGCAAGAGGAAAGGAGCCTGAGTCCCTGAGTCACCACTTGGAGGAGAGCCACCTCCAATCAGGAACACCTGTTTGGATTTTATATGAGTGAGACACAACCTTCTACTGTGTTGAGTCACTGAGGTTTGGGGGTTTATCTGTTACAGCAGCTAAAATGACGATAACGAATACATTCAGCTTCCAGAGAGGGAACTACAGTTCCCAGCATGCAGTGAGAGGAACCCGTTTGCCTGTATGCAATGAGGGACTACATTTCCCAGCATGCAATGAGGGTGATGCCCGGAATATTTGTTGAATGGACTTTCCCCTTCTCTGGGTTTACTCTTACCTCCCTGGCCCCTCCCTCTGTCTCCTTTGCTGGCCTCTCTTCCTCAGTCAGAATTTTAAAAGTAGTAGTTCTCTTTCCCCAGCGTTCTCTCCTCAGCTTCTCTTCCCTATGCTCTCTCCCTGACGATCTCTTCCAGACTCAGGGATTTAATTACTGTCTCTTGCGCTGTACAATATGGTAGCCACTAGTCACACGTGGCTATTGAAATGTAAATTAATTAAAATAAAATAAAATTTACAACTCAGTTCCTCGGGTGCACTAACACATGTCAAGTGCTCAACAGCCATACGTGGTGGCTACCGAATTGGACGCTGCAGATATTTGAATATCATCATTGCAGAATGTTCCACTGGACAGCGCTTCAGTCACAACTTCTTTCGCGAGCTCTGGACAAACCTCTCCCCCTTTCTACTTAACATGCACCCTTGGATTTCCAAGAGAGGCATCTCAAAAATTAATGAGGCCTGGTTGCACAATGGTTAAGCACTCGGCTGCTAACTGAAAGGTTGGCTATGCAAACCCACCGGCCGTTCCTCAAGAGAAAGATGAAGCAGTCAGCTTCCATAAAGATTACAGCCATGGAAACCCTATGGGGCAGTTCTACCCTGTCCTATAAGGTAGCTATGAGTCGGAATCAACTCCACTGCAACAGGTTTGGTTTTACGGGTTTGGTGGAGCAGTGGTTAAGCACTCGGCTGCTAACTGAAAGGTCCGCAGTTCCAGCCAACTAGCTGGTCCTTGGGAGAAAAGACGTGGTGATCTGCTCCCAAGTAAAGCTTACGGCCAAGAAAACCCTATGGGGCAGTTCTGCTCTGTCACATGGGGTCACTATGAGTCAGAATCGACTGCATGGCATACAACAAACATCTCAAAATTAGTGTATCAAACACAGAATTCGTGCTCTTTCTCCCACCTCAGATGGCTCCCTATCTTCCCTTTATTCACTGGGATGCTCAGGCCCCAAACCTCAATCATCCTTTCCCTCTCTTTCCCTCACAACCACATCCAGGCCATCTCCAAGTCCTCTTGGCTCTATCTTCAAAACATAACCTTATGGACCAATTTGGAAAAGGATAGTGAGAATGGTTGCACAACTTGAAGAATGCAATCAGTGTCACTGAATTATACATGTAGAAATTGTTGAATTGATGTATACTTTGTTGTGTACATTTTCACTACAATTAAAAAAAGAAAAACATAACCCCAATTGTCAGCTCCTCACTACTGCCACTGTCACATCTTTCATTGTTCCCACCTTCCTCTCTTGCCTGGATAACTACAACAGCTTCCCAACTCATCTCTACTTTCATTCCTGCATCCTCCAATCTGTTCCCCAGCCATAGCCAGAGGGATTGTTTAAAAATATTAATTGGATCTCATCCCTTTTCGGTTGAAAACCTTCCAACAGTGATCTATCTTCCTGAGAATCAAAGCCAAAGTCCTTGCTGTGGCCCACAAGGCCCTGCATGAACTAGCCCGTTACCTCTCTAACCTCATCTCCCACATCCCCCACCCCTCACTACACATGGAGTCCAGCCACACTGGCCTTCTCACTCTTCCTTAAACTCATCAAGCTCCTTCTTGCTTCAGAGACCTTGCACTTTGTGGTTGCCTCTCCTGGGGACACTCTCCCCCAGCTCCTCCACTCCTCATTCCTCAGGTCCAACTCAATTGTCACCTCCTCAGGGAGGCCTTTCCTGACTGCGCCATCTATTGAAGTCCCATTTTTGGTCATTGCCCCATCATCCTATTTATTCCTTCCATGGCAGACTTCACTCTCTGTTACTTGTTTCGTGTGTCTCCCCACTAAAATGCAAGCTCCACAAGAACATGGACCTTGTCTTTTTTTTTTTTTTTTTTCACAACTGTATTCTCCAGAATTTAGAACAGCCCTGGCACATAATCGGCCGTCAATAAATCTTCCAGTAATCATATGAGAACAATGAGTGGACTTTTTCCCCTGGGGTGTGCCTGTGGGTATATGTGTAGAGGGCAGGGCAGTTGTTCTGAGGGGATGAGGTCTCCCAGCATGCAATGAGAACCCTGACGGGACCTCGCCCTTTAGCAGGTGGAGGTGTGCTGAGGGGACCACATTCCTGGCATTCAGTGGGGGCACAGATTGAGCTGTGAGTACCACTTTTTCTTCCATCTTGACAGTGTGAGGACTACATTTCCCAGAAGGCAATGGGTGCTCACTGACCGGAAGACAGTGCTCAGCCGACAATGAAACAGAGTAGACCACATCTCTGAGTATGCCATGGAAGTGACAGCCAGGAAGTAATAAGTTCACATCAGAGGTGGTCTGCCCACAAATCTCTGGACAACTTCGTGCCAAGAAGAACAAGAAAGTTGGACAGATGCCCTTCCCAGAATGCTCTGGGCAGGAGAGAACTACGAATCACACCATGCAGTGGTGATCCAGTCACAAAGCCAGAAATTGTCGGAGACTTAGGCTCCGGCCACTCAAGTGGCTCCACCTACCGAGGTGGCTCCACCCCTTCTCCTTCTCAGTCCGCAGACCACTCCCTACCAGAAGTCCATCTTTCCTTTTCCACTCCAGCATAAGTCCCTGCCTCACACACAGCTGCAGCCTCTACCCCACCCTTTCCCTACTGGCTCCTGGCTTTGACCTTTTTCTGGTTAGTCCCGCCTCTATGGTGGGCCTCCATCCTCCCAGACCCTACCTTTGCATTCCCTCTTCCACATTTCCAGCTGGGTATGTCCCTCCTCACACACTGCCCCCAGGTTCTTCTCCCTTTCTAGACCCTGTGCCCTTATCACTGTACAATATCTAGGCCCCACCTACTCCCAGCCTCACCCCTCTTTGGCTTACCCTGCCCTTTCCCTGATTCACCCCTACCCTGACTGGCTTCTCCCTAAACCCCACTTCCTTGCTGCCTGCTTCTCCTCCCCTGCCCACCTCTCACTAATGGCTCCTCCCTCCCCTGCAGACACAGGCCCCTGGTGGTTGGCCTTGTCTCTCCTCTAAACCACACACTCAGCTGGCTGAGCCCCTTCCCAGGCCCTATCCTTCAGTACCAAATACCCTTTTTCCTTGTCCCTATCCCTGCCTTCCTAGTCTCGCCTCCTCCTTAGACTCCACCCCTAACTGGACTCAATTTTTTTCCAACTGATCCCTCAACTTGTTGACCCCAGATCCCACCCCTCCCTCAGATCTCGTCCATCTCGGCTGGTCCGTTTTTGCCCCCACACCTTGTCCATCGTTAGCTGGCCTCGCCTTTTCCCTAGATCCCACTCCTCCTGACTTGCCTCTCCTGCAGATCCTCACCTACAATGACTAAGCCCACGTCCTCGTCCTCCCAATACCCTAAACATTGATGACTGTTCCCTCTCTCTTAGACCCTCTCCAAGATCCAGAGCATGCTTCTAGGTGACTCCTCCAGCAGGGCCTGCCTGCGCTCCTTTTGCAGACCATGCCCCTCCACATAAGCTCCGCCTGTTACCTCCCGTATGGCTCCACCCCATCCCAAGACTCTGAACCTCGAGGGTGGCCACGCCTCTTACCTCCCTCTGGCCCCGCCCCTACTGGGCCTCGCCCCTCCCCCGACCTCCCAGCCCCGCCCCCGCCGCCGGCCGCGCGCACCTTGGGCGTGAGCACGAGCGCGGCGCCGCCGTGCACGGCCACGATGGGCAGCGAGGTCTGCGCCGACAGGAAGTCGAGGATGGGTGCGACGGCGGGTGCGCGCGAGTCGTCCTCGAAGACGACGCCGTGCACGCGCAGCCCCGACAGCAGGTCGCAGAGCTGCAGCACGAGGCTGCGCGGGTCTGAGCCGTTGAGCACCAGCGCCACGGGCCGCACGTCTAGGCCCGGGCTGCGCACCGCCGCCGACACGGCCGGTCCCAGGCGCGCCGCCTCGGCCGCGTACGCGGGACCCGAGAAAACAAGCGCC